CCACAGGTCCTCAGGTTTTATTTGGATAAGGGCAGATTTTGTAGGATTAACGTGATTTTGTAAGAATAGGGAGGAAATTTGTTTGATTACTGGGGATTTTGTAGGATAAGGGATTTATAATTGGTGTAATTTTCTGGGATGAGGGTTTTATAAGTGGATTTTGTAGGATAAAGAAGGATTTTGTATATCCAGGTATTATTTTGTGGGATAAGAATAAATTTTATGAGATAACGGAGAATGCTGTTGGATTAGCTTGTATTTTGTAGGATTAGGGAGTGATTTCTTGGGATTAGACGGGATTTTGTAGGATTAGGGCGTGATTTTGTGGGATTAGACGGGTTTGATAAGGATTAGGGAGTGATTTCCAGGGATTAGCCGGTATTTTGTAGGATTAGGGAGGACTCTTACTATTACGTATAGCGAGGGGCGGATAGTAGAACCTGTTAATTAAACGGGTCCTGTGTGACGAATGTACCAATTAAGTGAGGTCTAGACAATTACTCTGACAGAGTGATGAAGATGGTGGAGGGAGAGAGAGAGAGGAGGGAAGGGGAAAGAGAGAGAGAGAGAGAGAGAGAGAAAGAGAGAAAGGAGGAAGGGGAAAGAAAAGGGAGAGGAGAGAGAAAGAGAGAGGGGAGGGAAGAAAGGAAAGAGAAAGGGGGGAAAGAGAGAGAGAGAGAAGGGGGAGGAAGAAAGGAAAGAGAAAGGAGGGGGTAGAGAGAGAGAAAAAAACCAGACACATACAACATCACCAGGAACAAACACCTAACTGAACCATACACCAACAACAACAACGAACCAGGAGTGTCATCACCAACACAGCATAACACCACCATTACCAGGAACACATATATACCATCTCCTACCTTTAGCCCCCCCCCTAGGAGACCACGGTGCTCCTGGCCTCCTGGGTAATAGCAGGGACCGTTAGAAAATCAAACCAGTCACCATCTTGTGTGTGTGTGTGGTTTATTTTTATTGTGTTCTAATGGGGGAGAAATTGACCTTGGATGACGAGACGAGGAGGTGGGATGGGAGGGATGGGAGGTAAGGGGTGAGAGGGATGTGTGGGATGGGAGGTGAGGGGTGAGAGGGATGGGAGGGATGAATCGGATAGGAGGTATTAAACTAGGTTACTCGTTTTATATAACTTAACAGAATCGTAGCTGCGTGTTGGTGGTCTCTCTCTCTCTCTCTCTCTCTGTGACCCTCCTGTTGACTCTCACATTGACGCCCCCCCCCTCCTTATGTGCGTGTCACTCCTTGCCGTATGCGTGCCATCATTTACCTGGTATAAACGCTAAGATACCCTCCGTAATCCTCCTAAAAAAATGCTTAATTGTCCTTGCTGCATAGTCATTGGTCAGGGTACAGTACGTCGACTCGGGATTAATGCCAGCACGTAACTTTACTACATATACAAGTACAGTTTTACACCACCTGTGATACATTCTTCTTCGTGATTCACACACACACACACACACACTCTCATCACCTCAAACACACTTCTGTCATGGTCAACACACTCCTATATCTCCTCCAGCACAGTCCTATATCACCTCCAACACACTTTTTCTATGATCAATACACTCCTTCCATGATCAACATACACACTCTTTCCGCCTATAACATACTCCTGCCTCCAACACACTCCTTCCACCTCCAACACACTCCTTCCGCCTCCAACAAACTTTACCATCACCAACACTTTCCTAAATAGAGTCATTCTTACTTTAGGTTCCATTGTGAATGTATTGGTTACCTTCACCACGACTTACAACTGGCGTGTTTAGTGTGTGGTTATGTGCGCAGTTCGTGTGGGTTATTAGAAGCTGCACATGACTCACAGCTAATTACAGGGACGTATCGTTGTCTCTGTGGGTGACCAAATGTGTTTTTTTTTTCCTGTTCAGAGTTATAGTGATTGACTGAACAATATCATGAAGAACGCGCAACTTTTAATTCCTGGGCTCAAGGTTGGTGTGTCAGGGGGAGGCTGCCCGTAATTATTCCTCGGTGAAGCGAAGGCCCGAGGAGTTTAAACACGGTAAAGGATCAATAGAAGATGACCGCAGGTGTGGACGATCCTCAGACGCTGCGGCAAGTGTAGAAAATACTACTGTGGAAAAACAAGACAATATTAGATCGCGTGTTTGAATTTACGGAACTGTACATGGGTTTGGTATATCTGTTGGAAGTACTGAAACAATTACCCCCACGAACATGTTGGCGTCTGAAAAGTTTCTGCACCAGATAGTGACCAGAAACTTCCGATGGACTCGGGAGTTCAATGACTACAAGAGAGAGTTACTGGAACACTCCATCACCGGGCTGTAAAAGTTTGTGTTGCGTCTGCTGCTGGTGATGATCCCAATGCTCACCACAGGGCCCTGAGAGTGAAGCAGAGTGAAGGAAGCTTCAGACATTTCCATACTCGAGAAAGTTCCGGGATTGAGAGGAGGTGCAGCTGACCGATAATATGACGCACTAATCCCTGAGTTAACACGTTAGGTCGCGGTAACGTTGTCTTGTTGGCTCAGCTGCGTTACACCATCATAAACATCTCCCCTGGTGTTGACTCCTGCTGTACTGTGTTTATATAGACATTATACGAACACCTGTTAATGTTTAGGCATTACTTTAATTTTGTGTCTATGTACTGTATACATATTGGTGTTGTTGTTGTTGTTGTTGTTGTTGTTGTATATTTAGGACAAGATGAAGTACATGTTTTAAGTGCTAAGAGCCTGGGTATAATTTCTTCCTTAATCTAGATATTATACCTGAAATATAATAAGGTAATATATACTATACTTAATTCCTGAATGATGTATATAAGCTAAATTAAACACCTGGGTAATATTAATTTTAATTTTATTTATATTCCGCCTTAATTAACTCCCTTTGACAGTGACCTATAATTACAAGTTAAATAATACTCATTGTCTCATTAATTCATTATTTTATCGCATTTGGATTAACATGAGAGAAATTGCTAAATTAGAGTGAATTTAAATTTTTGGTTGTGTGCGTGTTCGTCACAACATATCATCACCATTGAGCCTGTGGGAATAATTATTATATCGTTTTACTAGAAATGAATTTTGTTTATACTAACGCATAACTTGAGGCAGTTTACGGAATCCACTGGTTTTTTTTTTTTTTTGTATTTCTATTTTTTATGGGGGGTGGGGGAGGGGGTTGAGGGACTACTTCTGGTGATTGTTGCTCGATCGTCTGGGAGATTTTTTTGTCTTAGATATAAAAACATGAGCGAACAATAGTGAATATTATCGTCTAAACACCTTAATACCTCCCCCTCCCCCAGTACTGAACGAACACAAATAGCGATATAATGTTCCAATAGCATAATATTTCCTTAACGTATAGACACATGGAGTGAACATATGTGGATATTATCGTCTAAATTCTATAATATATCCACCCTGGTATAGACACACGCACGAACATTAATGAAGACTAACGTTCATACTGTAATATATCCCCCCCCCCCACCCCCTCACACATAACACACGGGCAAAATACATTACTAAAATTAATATTTATACAAGTAATTATGTTTGTTTTTCTCTGCATACATAACGTACATACATGTAGATATTATTTTTTTAACTCTGATATATATTTTTTTTACTTTAGGTCATGGCGTGAGACAGGTATACGCAGGTGTCATAAAGGTTCATTATCGTAAATGCGTCATAACTTAATGGGTAATATTGATCTGAGGGCGAAGTATCTGGACTCAAGGTGGTGGTGGTGGTGGTGGTTAAGGGGTTAAACCATCACACTCAATGGATTAGTCACACACACACACACACACACACACACACACACACACACACACACACAACACCATATAGTAATTTGATAACCTTCCTGATGACACGAGCAGGTAAGCTTTTACTATATCAGAATTATTATGAATATACCTGCTTCATCAATCATCATCATCATCATCCTTAACAGAGGGTCACTTTCACCATCATCATTATCAAAGGTCATCTTCATTATTTCCTTCATTACAATCACTACAATCACCATCATCGTTACTATCAACACTATTATTACCATCACTACCTACTACACATTCATCATCATCATCATCATCATCATCATCATCATCAGCAACTCACTGGAGACTTATGTTGACCCCATCTCACCAATGACAACAATATTATCTTTTAATGATTCACCACTACACTACAAAGTCACCTCAGTAATACCCTCCCCCCCCTCCCCCCCTAGGTCACTGAATAACCCTTTTGATTATATAACGGGCGCACCACGATCACCAGGTCAGCACACTCACACACACACGTCACGCGATCACCAGTCTGAGGCGCTGTAATGTGGTGATTGTAACTTTTTCATTTCCAGTTTTTCACCAAGAAAGTTTCACAATATTACCATTTTTTTTATTTGTTATCTATGTATTTAAAGGTTCACCAAGACGCGATGGTCATTGGGAGTGTATAGAACTTTCGTTTGATGTGTGTGTTTTATCACCAGTATCACCACTACACGATCACCGTGGCTCCTTTGTCACCATACACATACGTTAGGACCAGTAGTGACCTTAGGTTGAGTGAGTATAATTTCACCAAGATCACCTTAACAGTTGTAGGATATCCTGTACTATGTAAAGTGTTTTGATTTTCACCACTCTTATCACCATTATCCTCTTCACTTCGCCACTATACACGCACTTTAGGGTCACCAAGGGATTCAGTCACCAGGATCCAGTCACAGGGACACTTACGTAAGACCCTTGGGGCGTGATTGACTTCAAAAAACCACCACAGATGTTGTTAAACCTTCCCTTCGTTACCATACACCACCTCAAGGATCACTGACAGCTTCACCAGGACCCAGCGAGAGGTTGCACCAAGCTTGAACACCCAAGTTAAATGGGATCTTAAGAACATGAATCACTACACTGTCACCATAACAGTTCCTCCTCTTTGTCACCATATACACACTTCCAGCTCGACGTAAGGGGAAGGGTATCAGCAAGAAGTTCACCAGGACACAGCGGGAGGGTTACCAAGCTGGTCACTGCGTCAGGGCATGACTGAGGGAGGGAGGGAGGTGTGGTGGTGGCGTGACGGGGCCGCGGAAGGGAAGCGCCTCGATCGTTACCTTGCATGACCAACACACAACAAAAGATGGGGCGTCTAAACCTGACTGACCCCCTCACCTCCTTCCTCCTCCTACCTTCTTCCCTCCTCCTACTCCTCCTCCTCCCTACCACCACTTCCTCCTCCCTCCCTCCATTCTTTCTCCCTCACCTGGTGCTCCTTACCTCCTTCTCCCTCCCCTTACCTTGTTTCTCACCTGTTTCTTTCCCTCAGGTGAGTCTTCTTGCCCTTCCGTTCCTCACCTGCCTCTCCTCCATGCTCCTCCCCTTCATCACTGCCACCTCTCCCTCCTCTACCTTCCTCGTTTATCTTCTCCCTCCTCAATTTCTCACTCATCTTCCCCTGTACTTCACTCCCTCCCTCCCTCCCTCCCTCCTTCCTTCACATTCCTCTCCTCTTCCTCCCTCACCACGCCACTGACCCCTCTCCCATGCTCCTTTCCTCTCCCCTTTGTTACCCATTCCCCTTTCCTAATTCTCCCCCCCCTCCCCCTCTCTCCCTCTCTCACCCTTCTCCCCCTCAAATTAAGGGAAAGGAAAAAACTGAAAGATGAAAGACAAAAAAAGATTGAGCATCGAGACCTCGACCTCCCCTCTCTCTCACCCCTCTTCCCCTCCCCTCTCTCTCACCCTTCTCCCCCTCTCTCCTCACCCTCTCTCCCCTTTTCTCCTTCTCCCCTCTCTCCCACTCTCTCCTCAGTTTCTCTCTCCACTCACCCCTCTCTCTCCCACACCTCTCCTATCACCCTTTCCTCTCCCACACAACCAAGGAAGGAAGATGATGATAATGGTCGTGATAAATGGAAGGAATAAAGCAGGAGGGTAATAACGGAATAAGGAGGAGGAGGAGGAAAAAGACTTACGAAATTATTGAGGAAGAGGAAAGGGGGGAGGGGGTGTAAGGAGGAGGTTGGGTGGAGGGAGGTCGGGGTGGGAGGGGAAATCAGAAGAACGGAAAGGGAGATCGAAGGGGGAGAGGGGGTAGAGGAATGGAGGAACCGAAAAGGAGGGGGTTAGAGGGAGGAATGGAAGGGAATGGGGAGAGAGAAAGGGGGGTATGGGAAGGTAGTCCTTTCTAACTAAATATTGTAATCTTGTTAGGTTAGGTAATAGGTTAGGTAAGGTAAGGTTAGGTTAGGTAATAGGTTAGGTAAGGTTAGGTTAGGTCATAGGTTAGGTTAGGTTAGGTAAGGTTAGGTTAGGTCATAGGTTAGGTTAGGTTAGGTAATAGATTAGGTTAGGTAAGGTTAGGTTAGGTAATAGGTTAAGTTAAGTTAGGTTAGTTGGAAGAGGAGAACGAAAAGGAGAGGGAGAACAAGGAGAAGAAGAAGAAAGTTCTCCTACACAACAACGTCAGGTTGGTCTCAGGTGTGTGTGCAAAAATACGACAATTATCTCTCGTCTGTCAACCCGCTGTTACCTGGAAGATGTTGCCATACGACGTGCACTATTTACCGAACTATATGCACCGTTGACCCAATAAAGCGAATTAGGCAGATTACAGCTCGTCTAATCTCCTTGTTAGCAAGACTTTTAGCTAATTGTATTCGGTATGGTCTTATTTTGCGTGATAATGGAGAATAGAGTAAATAAATATTCCCGTTGCGATCATCTGTACCAACGTGATTTAAACCCATCTCTTAACATGCAGTCGTGCTTTAGTTAATCTAAGCACATCATTACTCTGCTAATTAAAGGGAACAAAGAGCATCTCACCTGGGATTTCATTTCATCAAGATTTCACACCGAGTCTGCCCGTTATTTGTCCGGTTGTATCGTTAAGTACTGGACTAAGATTTATTGATTAGGGTGAACTGTAATAATAATAATAGTTAAATAGTAAATAAATTCGCATGACGTCATATTCAGTTTTGTGAATAATATCAAGTTTAATTTTACTACCTTTTTTTCACTTACATTTTCGCAGAATTTTTTTTAAACCAAAACAGAAAAAAATAAAGTTTTTCAAATTTACATGAGCATTAACTGTCTTGTTTTTTTGTCCAACTTGTCCAACATATTTTGCCTTTCTTTTTCGCCGAACTTAAACAAATGGATGTCACAACAGGTCGAGGTAAATATGCCTTCAGGTTTAACTTTTTTGAGAAAGATGGTTTAATTTGAAAGTCATCGTCCATTAGTGTGTTGTAACTGTAATATTGAAAGTTGTATACATACAAGTACAGTATACATAAACACGCATATGAGACAAATTCAACTATACATACACACACAGGACACACATAAACCATACGGATACATACATACAATAACATAAAAATCACACACACACACACACACACACACACACACACACACACACACACACACACACACACACACACACAGCACAGTGATGTATTTTAATGTTCACGCAACAGTACAAACACTCGTGTTTTTTTTTATTTTTAGAATAATTTTAATTTGGAAATATTCTGGGATTTTTTCTTGCGTTAAATGTTTATTAATTTTTTGTGGATTTACTGCATTTTATGTTTGTTTGTATATCTTTTAATTGTCAGTATAAATATACCACGTATAAATTGTTGAAAACCAGGAAAGAGCGGACAGACAGACAGAGAAACAGACAGATATCAGGTACTTACAAATACTGAGTTATATGTCTGGAGGAACTGTCTGTACATACTTGTAGTTATGTTAATTTATGTGTTAAATGCCACTACTCGGCTAACCTAACCTAACCTAACGTAAATAAACAGGTGATCCAAAGATTCTTCCAGAGAGCTCACAGAAGATACAGTAAAACACATCAGTACATGAATGACTTAGATCAGGACACTTCAGACGACGGGCACATTCTCTAATGAAAATTCCAGGTATTTTTGAAGCCATTACTATTTTGGGGGTGGGGCGTGGGGGGGGGGTGTACGATGTTTGCTGGAGCTGAATGTTCGAATGTGTGGCAAACATCTGGGCAATTCTGGAGCGTAAGTGCCCTCTCGTGGCCTCCAAGTCAGATCATTTCCCCCCCCCCCCTAATCTAAGTAGAGGCCGCAGGAGGCACAGCAAACACCATATAATTTTACCTCCAGCGGGCGGCATTTACCCTTGATGTTTATGGTCCTGTGTCTGATCTCCTGCTTATTGTTGCCTGGTTATGGTAGTGGTAACAGTCACCCGCCCGAGACAATGGCCACATAACCACCGGACGTTTCATTTTATTTGCAGACAGACAGACAGACAGACAGACAGACAAATATTACCAACAGTACATTAATGGCACAGTACCTTACAAGAGACTACCAAGGTGTGATGAACCATATTATGAATAACTTTTAAGTCTCTGGAAACCTTCATTTACGCGTGTGCTGAAATAATCGGATTACCTGTAGACTAACCAGCCTCCCGAGCTTAATTCACCTTAACATTAATCAATCTTATACAAGCTAATCTAACTTCAACCCAAACTTAATCTAACTCCACCTGCAGGTAGCGTTTGGTTGTTTAATCATCAGGTATTGTCTTCAGGTGATCTGCATTAATTATAAGCCCTGTAACTTTCTAAATAAAACACTAAAATTTCCTAAACCATAAAGAGTTCACCGCAGGGAGCGCCATAATCACACCCCATAAATCTCTAAGGCAGGTTTAACAATAGCCCTAAGGAGAGAGAGAGAGAGAGAGGGTGGGTGGGGGGGGGGGGGTTATGACCCTTTCCTGGTTAAATTTACTCCTCCATCCTCTCACCTGTCCTGGCCTGCCTTACATCGCCACCAACCAGGGCGACACATACAATGACCTTACGCACACACACACACACACACACACCTTGACAATTTCACCCTCACGCAACTCATGTCAAAAGGCTGTAGTGTTGATGCCTGTGGCGTGTGGTGCAGTGGAGGGAGTGGTGGTGAGTGTGTTGTGTGTGTGTGTGTGTGTGTGTGTGTGATTAATCTTACGTGCGTGGAGATCAAATAAATATCCCGATCTTGCACCCTTCATGTGAGTGTTAGTACACACACATACACACACACACACATATATACATTTAAAGCTGTAACAATTATCGTTTTATACTGAACATAATTGGTAAGAACCTATATAGGATTAATTAGTCCCATCCTTTGTTATCAGAGCTGGTGAGGTAATTTAGTAATGGTGGTGGTGACTGGTGGTGTTAAAGCAGTCTCTCATTTTTGTAGCGGGTCCAAGTTCCAAATATCCGGATTTCACCTATTCGAGTATGTTATCCGAACTTTACCCATCCGAGTTTATTATCCGAACTTCACCCATCCAAGTCTAATATCCGGACAGTATTAATGTGGATGTAATTTCTGGTCATTACACATTCAGTTCTAATATCCGGACTCACCCTCCAAGTCTAATATCAGCGTCAAGTCCGGATATTTGACATCAAATAACTAAAATCTGGATATTAGACACCAGATAACTAAAGTCCGGATATTAGACTCAGATAACTAAAGCCTAACAGAAATATCCATGAGTTAAACTAAAGCCTTTCTTCCAAGCGGGTGGTAAAAGTATACTTAACCTATAGTCAAAAACCTTTCACTATTAAGCTACTATAGAAGCGAGTGAGTGCGCCAATGGCTTATTCACCAGACTGTAACTAACTGTACTCCGGGAGGTTTTTCAGGAGTATCGTTAACATCAATCGCAATACAAGTTACAAAACTCATGTATCCGATAAAATGTTCTGACACGACGAATTACAGGTCATTGTATTTGTATAAGAAGTAACGGTTACAGTTTGTTTACTCGGGCGTGACGTGATGTTTGGCCTCAGGTACAGTTGCTACAGTTCTCTCTCTCTCTCTCTCTCTCCTTGTAGTAGTTCATGTTCATACCCAGACTACCAGATTGTTAGATTATTGCCTGAAGGGGTGTGTGTGTGTGTGTCTGTCTGTCTGGCGAGGAGCTGTGATGCGTTATTGGTA